TGGGAAAATGAAGCAGCCAATTTTTTTCGGTTCGCATGCCAATGAATGTTAAAAACAGGTGGCGATTGAGTCTAAAGGCAAACAAACAAATACATTTTTGACCAAATGAACAATAACTGTTTCCATAGAAAATTTATCCATGCACAGACCTAAGAAACATGGACTGGGAGGCTAGGAAGCAATGTTTTGACCTGGTTGATTCTTGTCGGACGTGCGAATCCATCCACACAACTGCGAATTGAATCGGAGATCTGACTAGCAGAACGCAAGTAAACTATCCACCGGACAGCTAGCTGATCAAACCGTTTTTCACTCTGTGTATATGTACACGCTATAGCACAACTCACTTTTCAAACCAGTGTTGCGGGCCTCATACAAGATCTAAACAAGAAGCATACAATGCTTTCCAGAATTTCATTTCACTCTTCAGGCGCTCTGCATGTGGTGACATTCACCATAAACACGATCAAACTGTTCACTACTTTTATGCCAAAAGTTGTATCCGTCTATTGTACGTGTGTGTGTGTGTGTGTGTGTGTGTGTGAATGTGCAATCTGAATTCAATTAACGTTTTTACGTGACATGTTTTGCCTCACAACAGGCTCACTTCTTAAGCAATTTACAAACACACATCATATGCACGACAGCGGACAGAGAATAATGACGAGGATCAAAGTGATGACGGGAAAATCCGTTGAGGGCCTATCGGCAGCATTTATCTTCCCGATGTGAACGCAGTTTGCACTTTTAATTCGGAATACAGAAATAGCACACATGGAAGTGGTTCGAAGATCACAATCAGATCGTCGATGACTCGTTTATCATCGCCACTTTGGTACTGCCGAAACGCGGTAGATCTTTTTTGTTTTTCAGGTCACACGTTACCTCAATATGAGTAACAACAGCTGCAACACCTACGTGGTTGGTCAATGAGGCAACCAAGGTATCAGGCTCTTTTGAATGAATTCAGTTGGACTTAAGCCAAGTTTCTATCCGTGTTGCGTCAATCGTATCAAACCAATTTACCTTGAGTCGCATTAATGTTTTACAAACGGGAATTTTCCTGATCGAATGAAGAGAAATAAGTTTATTTTTAATTTTCTTGACCACTCGCGTGACAGAGATCAACTCTACATCTGTTAACCATTCGGCGCATGACTCAGTCTAGTCGCGAGAGAGAGTCGTTACTGAGTATCTTTAACAAGCCATATGGTTTCACATGTCCCACTTCTCGTCCCACAATCCAAGTGAATCACGAGGTTCCTCAAACTGGGGTGGAACAGTGTGCTCGATTTGTGTAAGTGATTCACGGATGTTAAATGCAGTCACTGTTATGATGCAACAACAACAACAACTGATTACCAACCATTTAGACTGCTTACATAGGAACTTGCAGCTTGACGGGTACCGCACTCTGGTTGAATATCACTCATCCAGGTGGCCAGTTGTTTTCTGCCTCGACTGAAACCAATGGGCAAACTGAAAGGGAATCTGCTCAGAATAGAATGACCATGCGGCGCTCAACAACAAATACGCAAGAAGAAACGGGCATCACTATACATTTGTTCAACTGGAGTTTTTCATTTACAAACAACCCAGATCATATTTTTGGTCCCATTTATCAGTAAAAAAATTATTTTTTAATTTTTTAATTGAATAGGTTAATGGTCTCCTCAAAGTGAAAAAAATACAACTAATTTCTATCTTCTCCAACCTCGGTTCTCTTTTGCAGTGGTGTGAATTTTCTCGACGTGATGGTTCGTCAAGGTCTGGTTGATCATCCAATCAAACCCCCGTTCACAATGGGCTCGGAATGCGCGGGAAAAGTGGTCGCAGTCGGCGAGGACGTTAAACAGTACAAGGTAATCCCGGGAGAGGGTCACATCCCTGTTTTTGCGCTAATCAGTAAAATAGGGAACGTAAATTTACCGTAGCACTGATTTTCGGTGCCCTCTCTTACCATGCTCATCCAAGTCACATGAACAGAAAAATAGTTACACAATGTTGTGGACAAAATGGAGAGTTGGATTTATGTGATTTCGTGTACGGGATGCGTGATTCGGATCTCAGGGCGAGCTATTGACATCAGTTTTATTGTACAAATGGGTGTGGCAGATTTGAAGTCTTATATGTTGGGATTGTGAAAAGTTCAGTAACTACGGTGAGATTCGAACCCAGGCATGGACGCCGCCTACGTTTTTGTACAGCGCGTGCTCTGCCAGATGAGCTACGAGGCCACACCGATAGCACTGATCTTTTCACATTCGAATTTACCCATCCAACTTATAGAGGCATATGGCATCTACCAGACAGCATGTAAGATGACTGCCCGACAGATTTTCCTTAGAATGGGTACTGAATTTTTCACAATCCTAACATAAAACTACAATCTGCCAGACAAACATTTGTACAATTAACCTTGCCTTGGATGCTCATTCGGTGGACTCCGGTGAAAACTTGTCGGGACAGTCAGCTTTCATGCTAACTGGTGGATGCCATATGCTTCTGTTGGTTGGATAGGTAAATTCAAATGTGAAAAGATCAGTGATATCGGTGTGGCCTCGTAGATCAGTTTTATTGCCTGAAACAATATTCGGTTCTCATAAATGCATGTTGATCTCCCCAGTCGGGCATAGTTCCAAATATATATATATATATATATATATATATATATATATATATATATATATATACAAATCGTGGAGTGCACTCTTGCTGGGACAGTTTTTTTTCATCTCCCGTCGATATCACTCACGTAACTCACCATGAACAGGGCAATATCCGCTTCGTTTACAAACGGATTAGCGGTGACCTCTGGTAGACTGATTGGATTTCCTGGGTGGCAAATTGCGGGAATTAAATTCGTATTTTGTTGTCCGTGATTACAATCGACTTTTGTTCGTGACTGGAATTCCAATTAACAGCTTTTTTTGGGTGTGAAGAAGTTGACCAATCAATTGACACGAAACATGGATTTACTGAGCACCTTTTTTTTGCTAATCAGACCAGATCAGATAATGTCTGTGATTGAGTCTGGGGACCTTGGTATTTGTTCCCCTTTCCACGCACGCACGGGTTTGATTTCCTTTGGTGAGCTGTGTTAATTGCTCAACTGACCGCCTGTGATTGCACACAGAGACCAGCGCTTGGTTTGGTTGGCCTAGACCCGGTCTATCTCTCTTTGATTGTAGTTTTAATCTTCATCCTTCAGACACTCGTGTGAACTCTGTCCAATCAAGACTTCAGGATACAAATACTGTTCATCGCATAGATCCTCTAGGGAAGAACTATTTTCAAAATATTGCTCAGAAGTGTACCACTAATCTTTCCTCGTCTAAACCTTATGGCCTTGACTCTCAACTGTTCGTTCGCAAGCATTACAGTTGTAAGTTTTCACTAAAGCCTGTATAGATGTAGATGTATCAACTCGTAGTTTAGTGGAACTACACAAAGGTGACTTGGTGATAGACATCAAGACCACTTCAATTCCAATACCAAAACACATCTCTGCTCATGTGTGTGTGTGTGTCTGTGTGTTGTTCGTGAGCATGAAATGACTGGACTGGTAGACGGTTCTGCCGTCGTCCTGGTCAGTACCACTACCTAGCCATCGGGGTCTTATGTGGTTTTCCACCCGAAGTTCCAGGGCTAGGCCGCCGGTTACATCTCATCTCACTGCAACTAACAGGATCAATTCTCAAGCGCACTCTCACTTGACAATCGCACACACTAACATTCTCGGCTTGAACCACAATATCGATTCTGTAAAGCAATTTCTTAAGTCCACTTCCCCTCTTGTTCTATTTGTATCCAAAATACAACTTTTCGCTTCTACAGACACCACGCATCTTCAGTTACCCAATTATTCCCTTCAATATTCGTTCATCCCCTAGGTGGTGTTTGTGCTTTTTCATTCATCATTTAATTGTTTCTACTCCGTTCTCCCACTTAAATCTCACCAACCGCGAGTTCCAGACAATGCGGCTGAAACTTCGATTCCCTTGTTTCAATCACTACTTCTGCACTGTGTACCGTTCCCCGAATAGTATTGATCCTTCATTTCAGTTTCAGCTTTTACAACTATGAACCATGCACTTTCGTGAGCCGGTTTTGATTGCTGTCTTAAGGTCACCCATTTGGATAAAAGAACAGAATGAAGATTGGAATCTTTTGAGAGCAAATTCCCACTTACAGTATATCTCCGAAGCATGGAGTTTACTTACCCCTTTTTTACTGTATTCACTTTCCTGGAATAAAAAAAATAATCGAAACTCGTTTGGTTTTCGGTCGACTGAGTGGTATTATATTGTCGCGATCTTTCTCCGCGAGACTTGTCACAAATCTCGCTCCATTTCGGACGGATAATCCGATCGAAAGCATGCGCATCTCTCTACATACAGTTCCAAACCGAATTAACTTGCAACGCGTGCGCGCACACACACACACTGTATTCCGTCGCTCGTCTGTCCGTGACACTGAAGGTCCAACACAATTGTTTATGCATTTCCCGATCCATCCCGGGGATCACCCATTCCCGTATCCATTTAGTGTTCATCTTTCTACCTCTGTCGACAAAATGAATCACCTTTGTAATTCAGTCAGTGATCGAGGCTGAAGGATCACGATTCACTGTGCGTCTGTATTAGAAAGATTGAGGGGTGAATGGGCTCAACAGCGTAAGACAGATAGAAAGAGAGAGAGAGGGAGCGGTCGTTTCTTGCCAATAAACACATGACATTGGAGGGCTGCTTCTGTGTCTTGTCCGAGTTCTTTTGACCGGGACTAGAAGCAACAAAATCAACAACAACAACAACAACAACAACAAGGATGAAAAGACCTCCGACGGATATCCAAGCAAGATTCAGATACAACGAAATGGGTTGATTGAATCCCCAGTCTTCTTTTCTCCTCTTTCTGGAATAAACACACACACATACACACGGACCGAGCTGGTCAGAATGGCGACAACTTGTATAGCCAACTGTTCTTCTTCTTTCTGTCTCCGTATCCATCGATCCATTTGATTTGGTTGAGAGAAGAATTCGGTGGTTATAACCAGCGAAAAATTTGAGCGTCACTGTGTGTAAACATCACTCCGGGATAATCATTACTTACCAGTGGACGAAAATCTACCTGGTCATGAGGATCGAATAGTCGAATAACAAACGGGACACATTCGTTTCGTGTTTGTGCGCGATCAGAATGATTTGTTTACCCTCACAAACCGAATCGTAGATCACGGACAGAATAGAACACTCTCGTGTTTTGATCCCACTTCTGTTTTTTTGTTTACTTGTTGCTAAGATTGACTGAAAACGATGGTAGGGTAGTCCGAATGGGAGTGGGATCTGTGGTGCGGAGAGGGAATTCTGGATAGCTGCTCTCGTTCACACATGAAAATATGATGCCATCAATAGAAAATTGATTAGTTTTTAGGATCATCAATATGCGTTTTTTTTGTCAAATGGAAGGAGAATGAGTACACGTTTGTACAAATTATTTTCACAGTGATGGCGGCTGGTTGTTCGCCGAGCTATGCTTCGCTGCATACTTCACTGTTCGAAATAAAATCTTCGAACTGATAATTTGGAAAATGACGATGAATTCAAACCGTTTTGAAGAATTTTAACGGGTAGGATTGTTGCAGTCGTTCCAATGTCTAATAACATACAATCTGGTAGAAATCAGTATTAGGTGAATACCTCAATAAAATTTTCTTCGAAGCATACAGTCGGTTTTGTACCTGTTACCGCTCATCAGGTATGCGTGCAATTGTCCACCGAGCTAAACACTGGGAATGTAAAGGCTAACACTGAACTCCCAAACCTCGACCAAAAACTACAAACACACATATACAGATGGAGAGCGTACGGTATGGGAACCGGACGATCGTTGATGATTATTGTTGATGACTTTATGATTATTTTGGGCGTTTTAGCATGATTTTTAATTGGTCCGACACGTGAAGATCGGATCTATATCCTTATCGGAGACGGGATTATCACAGTCACATACTGATTACAGTTACAGCAACAGTAAAACAACCCACTCGGCTCGCCCCGCCCCAAAAGAAATCTGAGTTTCATTCTCAACGTATTTTCTCAAATTTTCGAAAGATTTTAATTCTCACCTAAGAGAAATGATAATTCAAATCATCTGGTAATGATCCACCACTCGTATTGTATACAATTCAGCAACTATTCTCACATCCAGTCCGATTTATGTCGATCGGTCAATCGATTTTTCAAAATCAGCACAACCACAACAATATCACGGTGTATACGATAAAATAACGATCACATTTTCCGAGACGAAAAATCGAGCATTAATATGTAATACAGTAATTGAGTTTCAACTGAGATTGTATACTTACGGAAAAGAGTGTTCATCTAATTCGAAAAAGTTATTCAATGGACCTGGTCACAAGTATGTCATACAGTTATAGTTTATCCGAGTCTGTCGCTTGGTTTCTGTGTTTTATTTTTTACTGATTATACTTGACAAAGTCAGCCACATTCAAATGTAAATAGTGTAAATATATTTTTTTTACATCTTGTCTAAAATTCATGAACATAAAAATATAGGGAAGAATTCAATTCAATCGTATGATGATGATGATGATCGAACTCGGGATCTCTACTTATGTGGTCCCCAGTTGGATCGATGGATTTGCACTGACCAACCGGAATGTCTGTTCCTCCCGTTTACACGTTACCGAAAGTTCTTCATCCTCTAAGATTGACTATGAAGATGAGTAAGCGCTGCTCCAAAACAAATTCGTCGCCATCCCATCATTGGCGTGTGAAATATTTGAAACCTGTCCGTATAAAATATCCCCGCGTACAATACAATAGTTCGGTGGATAAATTCCAATTAGCGGCACGAATGCAAAAACGATGCACAAATATTTTTTATCTCCTAGGTTCGAGATTGATGCCCAACAACATCCGATCACCAACAAATCGTGTATGGGACTAAATCATAGATAACCGGACAGGTATCACTATTCATCATCGCCTGGCCTGTACGAGTTACTACTAATGCATTGCACCTAAAAGTGTACAGTTAAGCTTCATCGAGCAATTAATTGTGTGGACAGAGTTGTCATGGGATCACCTGCGCTCACCTGTTCCTTGTCGATATATTAAAAAAAAAACCCGGAGCTTTGGGACACCATAGAACTGCATACTATTTATTCATCGGGACTATTCTGTTGGCTACATCAAGTATCACTTTCAGCCGAGACTTCAGCACAGTTAACTTCATGTCGGTGATAGAAGTGGCGAACACATGGCAATTCTTATATGTTAATCTTGACAATCGTAATGGCGAAGCACACGATGAATCGGTCTGCAGAAAACCTTAATGAACGGGTCAATACATCCATCACCAATGTGTATCATGTGTTGGACGACGATCAGTGTGTGATGATACAGATTCCCATCCCTCATCCCACCTCTCGTGAGACGCTTTTGATTACATTCAGTAGAATTGTTTTTTTTGTTTTGTTTTGTTTTTCATCAAAAAATAGCTCCTACCTTATTTAATTTATTGTTTATTCGTTTCTTTCTTTTTCATGCAAATTGGAATCAACATGTTCGACAATATCTGTTCAATGATCTCTAGAACAAAATTGAATCCCTTTTGTTTCGAGGGCNCCCCCCCATTGAGGGCTGTCTGTCTGTCTGTAGTTCAGTTCGAACAACCATTAACCGTGCAATTATTTCATGCACCGATTTTGGTTGCTGTCTTTTGGTTGCCTGTTTGAATAAACAATAGGAGAAGGACAAGAAAAGTTGAAAGTGGAGTCGAAAAGAAAATGGAGAATTTCAGTGGTCTAGGGTTGCAAAAAAAAATTGAGCAGATGCACGAACGCCCCTGTTTACGACATCCAGCCATATCGCTCAG